ACCTGCGTCGGAGAGAAGGGAGAACCCTCAGCGGGGCAACAAGGGGGACCGAGGGGGCAACAAGCCCCCTGCTCCTGCCCTTGAAGCCCCTCTGGACTCCTCTTGGTAGAGCAGAGCGTGGTCCTTGCTCACTCCCAGCCCTCACCTGTCGCAGATCCAGCCCCTGTTGCTCATGGGTCTCTTGCAGTTGCTGCAGTTGACGTGCAGCGTGGTGGAGGCCTGGTTGAGGCAGTTGATGGCACGGCCGGGGCTCAGCTTGATCACCTCGTTGGAGATGTTCCAGAGCTGGAAGCGCTGCAGCAGGTCGATGTAGGACGTGTACCAGTGCTCCTGGGGAGGGGCGCAGACAGCTGAGCCTCCACGCTCCCCAAAACCCCCTCAGGATCACAGCCCCGTGTCCCTAAGGTGGGGAGAACTGCTCTGCAGGGCTGAAGAAGAGGTGTCCTTCCCCTCTGTGAACAGGCCGAGGCCACTTCCCCGCCCTGCTCCTGCAGACACCACCTCGTGTCCCTGTCAGGACAGGTGGCAGAGCAGCCTGTTGGGTACTGGTGGTCCTGGGGAGGTGCCCAGGGCCCAGCTGGGATCCCACCACGCTGGAACACACCCCACTGAGGGTCCTACTGCCTCTCATAGGGCCGGCCCTGAAGGGAGGGACCATTCCCATTCAGGTGGGAAGGGGCTTCCCGGGCTCTACCTGGGTCTGCTCGTCGATCTCCTTGCGGATGCGATCTCCCAGGACGATGAGGACAGAGACAGCTGTCTGCACGTCCCCCTGCTCGGCGTAGAAGAGCAGCGTGTCCCTCACGATGGGGTTGAAGAAGTCGGAGGGGAGGCGGTTCTCGTAGAGCGAGTGGGAGATGGAGATGAGGGAGAAGGACTCCACGGGGGTCAGCGACACCGTCTCGGCCTCGTTGCCGCTGACGTGAGGGGAGTCGGCTTTGTCTTGCAGGTGGTCCAAGGCCGAGGGGTTGTCCACGATTTCGTGGCGCAGGGGGAAGGCTTCCTGAGGGAGGCTGTACTCCTGCTCTTCAGCTGCCGGGGAGAGAGAGAGAGCGAGGGAGGAGGAGGGTGGGCCAGGAGGAAACCCAGCCACGCAGGGAACGCCTCCCCCCGGCGCCGGCCGTGGGCTCACCGTGGGGGTTCTCGTGGTCCATCATGTACAGGTCATCCTCATCTGCCTCCACGTCCCCCAGCAGGTAGTCTGCAGGGACGTCGCTGCCCTCTGTCTCCTCGTTGTCTGCCCCAGGAGAGAGAAATCAGCTCGTGCCCCTCGGGCACACGATGGGATACATGTCCCCAAAGCAGGCTCAGCTCCCCGCCCCAGCCACGTTCCTGCTGCCCAGAGCCACCACTCCGAGGGTCACGGGGGTAACACGTCCCTCAGCAGCACCCCAGGGCTTGCTGTGGCACATCCAAGCACCCTGATTTACCCCCTACCAGGGCCACCCACCGCTGAGGGGAGGGAAGAACCACAGGAGAGCCCCAGACACCTCACCCTCGTTGTTGATGAGGGTGGAGGAGGAGTCCATGAGGATGTTCTCCGTGCGGCTCTCTCCTTTGCTGCGGTCCAGCCTCGACTCGCTGCCCAGCCCAGAGGGGATGTCCTTCAGGTTAAAGCTGGGGAAAAAAAAAAGCCCAGCTCTTCATCTTCACCTTAGAGGTAGATGAAGAGGAATCACCTTGCTACGAGGTGCTTTGCTGTCTGTCACGTGTCACAGCCCTGAGGTTTCAGGGAGAGGGAGATGGAGGGACCCATCTGGACGCAGAGCTCAGCTGAGGAGACTCTTCTCTTTGATGTTTCTGGCCACTCGCCCTGGGAGCCTGGCCCTGCAAGGTCTGGCAGCTATTTGGAGTCCTCATGCTTGAGCATGTCATTGAGAAGAGGAAAAACCAAGTTCTCCTGCTTCCCCAGCCCTGAGCAGAAGACAACGTCTCCACAAAGACCAGCTCTGGCTCCAGCGCTCTCCAAGAGCTTCTCCAGCCCCAGCGTTCCCCAAGAGGTTCTCCAGCCCCACAACTGCAAAGATGGCACCAGCCCCACCACAGCTTCAAGCTTCACCCCCAGGAGGGAGCATGGCACAAGCCCGTGCAGCTCGAGGCCGCTCACTTGTGCCCACGTGGAAAACGGGTGGGTCCCAACGATGCCAACCCCCAAACCCACGTGGCCCAAGCCTGGGTGAGAACCACCCCAGCTGAGGAGCCACCTCTGGAGCTCTCCAGCTCGTGGAGAAGTCACGTTGTCCACCCCAGTACCTGTTCATGAGCGGGAGGGTGGTGCTGCCTTTCCCCATGCTGTGGTTGAGGTTGGTGGAGGAGACGGTGCCGAGGCTGGAGTAGATAATTCGGAGCATGGTCCACGTTTGAGCCACCTGCACGAGAGACAGCCACCCTCGGGGTGAAAACCAGGGCCCCTGCTCCCCTCGTCAGCTCTTCTAGGGCTGAGCAGGCTCTGGGGGGTGACACGGTTCTGGGTGATGATCAGTGCTCGGTGTAGGCAATGACAGGAGGGGAGGGTCTGGTGGCAGGCTGAGGGGCACCTTCTGGGGACAACCAGAGGGGGCAGCTGGACAGAGAGTGACATCCAGTTTGGGTGCTGGGCCTCATCCTGGTAGTGACTTTGGGCTGGGTTTGTCTCTGGGGGGGTTTGGTAGCAGGGAGGGGGCTCCTGTACCAGGCTTTGAGAAGCTTCCCCATCCAGCTCCAAGTCGTCAAATCATGATTTGGGGGGGAAGGGACCTTTGTAGGTCATCCAGCCCCCACAGTCCAACCCCCTGCAGGGAGCAGGGACATCCCCAACTAGAGCAGGGTGCTCAGAGCCCCTGGGATGGTTCCAGGGATGGGGCAGTGAGCACCTCTCTGGGCAGCCTGGGCCAGGGGCTCACCACCCTCATTGAAGCTGGACCCAGCGCCACAGGGGGGGACTGTGAGGAGTTTCCCACCCTCACCAGGAGTAAGGAGTGGCAGAAACAAGATGGGATGGACTGGGACTGACCACAGCCCCCATTCCCTGGCCCTCTGTGATGCTGGCTGGGGGGGAGGTAGCAGAGTTGGGCCCAGGAAAGAAGGGAGGGGTGGGGGGAAGGTGTAGTTCTTGAAGATCTGGTTGTGTCTATCACTGGCCTACTCTGATCCAGTTGGTGACTTGGTGGTGGGCTTGTTGTTCATCACAATCACAGAACAGTTTGGGTTGGAAGGGACCTTAAAGACCATCTCATTTCAACCCCCTGCCACTGGCAGCCACACCTCCCACTGGACCAGGTTGCTCACAGCCCCATCCAACCTGGCCTTGAACACCTCCAGTGCTGTGGCACCCACAGCTTCCCTGGGCAACCTGGGCCAGGGTCTCCCCACTCTCTCAGTGAAGAGCTGAAATGTAAAATTCCAAGTTTTAATTTAAACTTGTTCCCCCAAGTGGTGGGGAAAGATGTCAGTTAGGGTCACAGCCAAAAGTCACAACTGTGGCCTCCCTGTCCGAATCACAGAATCCTTTAGGTTGGAGGAGACCTTTAAGATCATCAAGTCCAACCATCAAGCCAACACTACCAAGTCCTCTGCTAAAACAGATCAGAATCTGTCAGGGTTGGAAGGGACCACAAGGATCCCCCAGTTCCAACCCCTCTGCCATGAGCAGGGACACCTCCCACTAGATCAGGCTGCCCAGAGCCTCCTCCAGCCTGGCCTTAAAGACCCCCAGGGATGGGGCCTCAACCACCACCCTGGGCAACCCATTCCAGGGTCTCACCACTCTCATGGTGAAGAACTTCTTCCTCACATCCAGCCTGAAT